CAATCACAGAGGTCGGGGGAAGAATTCACGTGACGTCTTCTGAGTGTTTCTGGGATGCCTCCATCGGGCCACAAATAGGTTTTCGTGCCATAACTATGCGCTGTCGCTTGCAAGGCAACCGAACCCCGCTGCAGCCTTCAAGCGGGGCACAGACAGCTCGGAAGCGCACGATCGTGCCAAGTTTACTGACGGTCTGTGCCAGGTGGAGGGACTCAGAATAGCTCGGACGTGGACTAATCCAAATACCAAGACCCGTGCAACATTCAGGCGTCTAATAACCACAAAGTCAAGTGCGTCACACTACAGCATTACGGGAACTCTTGGCCCTATTTTATACGGATTTGCCACTTTATAAGTGAGACAAGTGCGCGCAGAGAGCAGAGAAAGAAACTTGTCACTTGGCCAACTCAGAAATAAAATTTGTTTTGACTTCCATTTGATCATTTAAAGGAGTGTTCTGAATTTAAGTTACAACATGGGACAGCAAGCCTCCAAATCCACCATTGAAGCGCGGGTGATTTTCCAGCGCGTTGGCGCAGTGGATATGTGTCAGAAAACGGACGCGTGTTCCACTCCAGCCTCCGTTGTCCACATTCAGAAGAAGGTGACCAGTCAGGCGGCCTATCTTCACTCTTCCAACCGGGCACTGGAGAAGTCAACAACCCATGCTTGGCCCCAGAGCCACTGTGACAACGGGGGGCTGGTGTACGTGATGGATAATCCAACTGGTGGTGTGTGGGTTAAGCCGGAGGAGAAATGGACCAGGTCTTGATACGAAAGTAAAATCTTTACGCGAAATGCAAACGATAGAATTAAGTCAAGCACCTCGTGACTGGATGCATTATGTGCGTCCGCAAGCTTTGGCGTCTTCCGAGCAGGACGCCGCTGATTTGGACTCCTGCGCTGAGTTGCAGCTCCGTGCCACATACACTGCAGTGCATGGAGTCAAGGTGGATTTAAATAGTAGAATCGTCTTCGCTGGACTGACTGTAATTTATTGATTTAGTCTTTATGACATATTCATATATATTTAATATCAGGAAGGAAGACGATGAGAGGAGGCGAAGAGAGTGCCCGCGACATGCGCACTGAGATCCTGTGTTTACTTTTGGAAATTTGTGTCATTATGTTGTTACCAAGAGAGAGAATTTCACTCTACTGCTTTTTTTATTTTGGTAATAGTGTGGAGCAGATCAAATGAAAGAAGGGAGCTTGGGTTAAGTCACTACTGAGAGTTAGCTAACATCGACCACTCTGCTATTTGAGTGTGGTTTGTAAACAGTGCGCTTTGGCCCACTGTCTTAAAATGGAAACTGCATCCTTCCAATGGCTGACCAACCTTCATTTATTTTTTTCCTTCCTTTTTATTTGACTTTATTCTATTTTTTTAAGTATTTATTACATGTATTTATTACCATAACACAAATAAATGTTTTATAATGAAATGTATTTTTTAAAATATTGATGGAAGTCTGAATGTGATCGACTGGAGTTCGATGTTGGACTGAATGTTTGTTCAGAATGTCTCTCAGTAACTGGATGTTGTCATAGCAGCATAATGCCCGGGGGGGGGTTATGGCTCCTTTTGTACTGAGAAGCTCTAGCAGCTTTGAGGAGGTTTTGGGGAAGTGTGTCACAATTCTGTAAAGAGGATGTCACGGTCGGACTGTGTGGACCGTTGGAAATGTATGTTGAAATTAATAATTTAAGAACTTATATTGTTCTTTATTTTACCATGTAGGGGAGGCGATGTAACGCTGATTCAGCAAAACTGCATTTATTTCTGTTGAAAAAGGTGAAGCCTGGATATTGTTCTTTATTTTTAACTGTTGCCTGTCCCTTAAAACACCTGATCCATGACTGAACATGTGATTAAGATTAAAAATGGAAATCTTCAGGCAAATGATTGTATGTGACGTGTGCATCAATATACCCAAGGCACTGTGCACCATCACCCCATAAAATAAAACGGA